TGTTGGGAGGAAACATGGATTCGTAGAGAGTGGAGGGTGGTTGTGCGTTTTGGGGGCCTCTTTTGGGGCCTCCAGACTATCCAGGATTATGCAGGAAAGGCCTCTCCAGATTCCGTGAACGCAAGGAGCCCTTTAAAAGGCTCGCGGGGTGGCGGCTAAGCTTTTGTCACCCTATCTGAGGTGGACATGCTCCTGGCGCCTGCACCACGCCGCGCCCTCGGCACAGGCGGCGGGCGCCACCGCTTGATGCTGCCGCCCGTGGCGGGCGCAGCGCATGCGTCTGCGAAGGCGCCGCTCACGACGTCGCAAGCCCGAAGGGACCTAGGGAGGGGGAGGGGCGCCAAGTAGGACGAGCCACAGCGACCCCGCGCTTGGGGGGCCTGGCAATATGGGGGGCATCCCGAGCCCGCCCCACCCAGTGCGCCACCCCACCCCAAGGGAGGGACCCCCAGGGGGCCCTGGGCGCCCAAACCACCCCGCCCACCCTCCGCCAGATCTGCGGCTGGTCGCTGGCTCTGTTGTACAGGTGGTGCTGACCGCCCGCCAGCTCCGCTGGCAGTGGGCTCCCCGGCTCTCCCGATGTGCTCACCGGCCCCACGGCTTGTGCGGGAGAGGGGGGGGGGGCGCCGGAGGCATTTGGGGACCTCCTGGGGGGGTGGCATCGGGGGATCTTGGGCCCCCTGTGTTCGGCCACGGGCCCCCTTGGGCTCCTCCTTGTGACCTTCGCCGCCCGAAGAAGAAACAATCTGCACGAGCACAGCACGGATCGGCGCTGGAGCCCCCTGCTGGCGCCTCCAGCGTCGCCCCTGACGCGCTCTGGGCGCCAGGGAGGGGGGTCCAGCGCCGATCCACGACATCCGCGCGGACTTCATGTACTTTATCTTTCTTTACAATCAGCACGATGACCATAACGAAGATGCCGCGGGGTCTTGTTAACGCAGATCTGGGTCGCGGTCCATGCCGATCGTCGCCTACTCGCAAAGATGATCCACGAATTGACGATGACCACGATGGACAAGCACCGGGATCGACGCCGACGTTTCCACGTTCAGTCTTGGTCATGGTCATCGTTCTCACCCCAACCTCGCCGTTTAAAAAAACACTTGCGTCGTGTAAAGAACGCAATGGGCGTTTTTTGTCGCTGTTCTCGGCCTCCGGTTGCCCTCGCCGGGCCCTGGGCCGCTAGAAAAGGACTCAGGTTGAACAGTCGGCCCCAGGGAATGGGTCGAGATCTTTGGGGGTCCACGCGGTGAAACACCCCGACGTCGGCGGTCGGGACACGTCCATACGATATATATATATATATATATATATTCATATTTATATATTTATTTTTTTATATATTTTATATTATATATTTATATATTTATATATTTATATATATATATATATATATATATAATACATATATATATATGTTTATATATATATATATGTATTTATATACACATATATATATATATATATGTATGTCGGTGTGTGTGGAGGCCGTTTCTGGTTTCGGGGGCCATCAAGATGCGATCTAGAATGAAATGGCCAGCCCTGGGGAAGATGCCGGTTCTTCCAAGGACCCCGTCAAAACATCGGAGGTCTGTGGAACGACGATGCCAAATATATACTGACACCGCTCCCGGCCAGGCCCATCTTTGGCCCAGCATCGGTGTGTACGCTTGTTTGGCTTGGTCACGAAGGCGTATCTGCACCAATCCTGAGTTTAGAATGGGTCTCGCCCAGATCTCGGGGGGCCCCTCAACGGTGTGGTGACCACACCGTGTGGTGACTCAGTGGGGATTCGGGGTGGCAGAACGGTTTTGGGACTTAGGTCGTTCTTCGAGGACATCTCGGGCGACTGGGGTCTCCAGGGTCCCCAAGCCCTGCAGTGACGGACCCTGCGATCAAGTCCCCTGGGATTTCGAGGTCACGGCACGGTCTGTCACCGCACCTGTTCGGGATCGTCCCAAGTCGGTGTCAGTCAGCGCATAGTTGTCGTCGTCCCAGGCTGAGAAGACAGCCGGCTGCGATGGCTTTGCGGCGTCACACGCGGACGTTTCCTTGGAGTTAGCCCTCGGCGGCTGAGAGCGTGAGCAGCCGCGATCGCTGCGTCCCGCGCCGCTCGCAGCCGAGAAGACGGCTGGCCGTGGTGGCGGTCGGTCGTGTCGCTGTCGGACGCCTCCCCTGTTGCGCGCCCTCGGCGGCTGGGAAGGTGGCCAGCCGCCAGGGCTGTTTCCCAAGCCGCTCGCGCTGATGCTGCTCTCTGAAGAGACCGGCCCTGGAGTGACGCTGCCGGTGGCAGTCCACGTGCCTGGCATCGTGTAATTTTATATCCGGGTCTTGGAATATGTCGTTGAGCTTTCCCATGGCCCGTTCGGTAGTTTTTCTCAATAACTTTTATCCTCAGTTCTCCAGCTCTCGTGGGTTTTCAGTGCATGCCGCAGCCGAGTGCTCCATTCCTCCAAGCGGCCGAACTGGCCAGCCAAATTTTCAAAAGAGTCACCTGCCTACGGCGAACGCCGCCACCTTGCCAGCAGCGCAGCAGGAAGGAGCTTGAGCTTGAGACTCGTTCCGGGTCAAGTGCCCAGTGTAAGATGGCGTGGGTCTTGGACATCGCCTCCTTTTACGCAGCCTCGTTCTCATCTTCCCCCGTCCTTCCTCCTCCTTTTCTTCCTCATTTCCTTCCTTCCTTTCCCTGCGTGAAGGCATCATGAGGGCTTATTGGTATTTATGTTGAGGCCTCTTGGTTGGAGCCTCTTGGCGGTCTCTTGGGGCCCTCTTGGGGAATTGTTGGAGCCTGTTGAGGCTCTGGTTCTGTCGGCAGTCTGAAGCCCGTTTGGGGCTCTTGGGCGCGGTGGTTTCACAGAGCTCGCCCGGAAAGGCTCGATTGAATCATCTTGGGGACATTTGGGCGTGTCATGGGGCCATTTTGGAACCCTCTTGGCCTGTCTCTGGGATTCTCGGTCGGTCTTGGGCCTGTCCGGGGATGGCTGTTGCGGGGGCTTCTGGAGGCGATCTGAAGATTTCTGAGGCGACCTCCGGCGAGCCTCGGCGACCTCCGGCGAGCCTCAGGAGCCAAACATATTCTTGCATCGGAGGAGGAGGAGGAGGTGCAGGAGGAGGAGGAGGAGGAGGAGGAGTAGGAGGAGGAGGAGGAGGAAGAGCAGGAGGAGAAGGAAGAGCAGGAGGAGGCGGAGGAGCAGGAGGAGCAGGGGCAGGAGGATGAGGAGGAGGAGGGGCAGGAGCAGGAGGAGGAGGCGGACAGGAGATCGAGGAGGAGGAACAGGAGGAGGAGGAGGAGGAGGAGGAGGAGGAGGAGGAGGAGGAGGAGGACGAGACGGAGGAGGAGGAGGAGGAGGAGGAGGAGGAGGAGGAGGAGGAGGACCAGTGTAACCCCAAGAGTCAACAACGATGTCGGCATAAGCACTCCCTCCAAGCTCCGTCTTCACAGGCGCCAGCAAGGATTCATATTCACTGAGGGAACTGCTGCGTTGGAAGACAACCGTTTGAAGACCCTGAAGCATGCTAAAACATTGTTCTCGGGACTCCAGCGTCACGAATCAACCTGGCTGTTGCGTCTTGACGATCCTGAATCGTGCCAGAAAGCCACTCTTGGGGCTTCAACACCGCGAAACAACCTAACCGTTGCACCCTCATAATCCTGAGTCTTTCCACACAACTTCTGGTACGTTGACCATGGGATCCATGAACCTCCTGTAACTTGTAACAAGGAGTGTGCGCGGCGCTATGGCGAGAGCCACATTTCGATGACGACCCGCCCTCCATCTGTGAAGCTGCTGCCAATGCTTAGGGTGCAGGGTGATACATTGTGAGGAAGTCTCCAGCGGAACGCCCCGCCCGTCCTTTCGACCGGCCTCAGGATGCGACAGGGAGAGTTTATGTATGAGGAAAAGAAATGGGGGCGGAGGAGGAGGATGAGAAGGAGGAGGATGAGGAGCAGGAGGAGGAGAAGGAGGAGCAGGAGAAGGAGGAGGAGGAGGAGGAGGAGGAGGAGGAGGAGGAGGAGGAGCAGGAGGAGGAGGAGGAGGAGCAGGAGCAGGAGCAGGAGGAGGAGGAGGAGGAGGAGGAGGAGGATGAGGAGGAGGGCTCCTGGAGCGCTTGTTCACGCGCCTCATGTCCCACGCTGGCCTCAGCAGGTAGACCCTGTCCTCGCGCGTCTTCTTCATCACGAAAAACACGGCCACCTCGGCCTTGCAGACGTGAGTGATTCCAAGCAACCCCGCCTCCCACAGCCGCACCGCGGAATCCAAGCGCGCCGCTCGCTGGCGGAGGCTCGGGTCTGTGTAAGAGCGCGTGGCTTCGATGTCGGCTTCGTCCACCTGGCTTGGCGGCAGGGCTACCCTCTCGTGGAACCTGTCGACGTAGTACCTGGCCTTCGGCGAGACCAGCTTGATGTCGCGCGGCTCTGCCCTTGCTGGCGGCATAGACGCCTCGCCGCTCGCGAAGGGCATCACCTTTCCCCTCGTCGGCGCCCCCTCGTCGTCGTCTGATACAGCTAAGGCCACGTAGGTACCAGCTTCGGCACGCAAGGCCAGCCGCTCGAAAGCGGACTCGGCGTCGGAGGCGTTCATCTTCAAGTCGTCAACCTCCCGGTGACACTCCAGCACCCTCTCCGAGATCCTCCGCGGCAGCTCGTGGCTTCTCGTCCACTCCGTCGCACTGCCCCGCGCAGTGTCTCCCAGCGGATCGTATCGGCCAGAAGTGAGAGCCGTCAAGGACCTCGGAGCAGCGTTCGCCCGAGCTCGCAGCGCCCTCTCCTGAGCGACCCGCGACCTCGATCGCCCCGAGGTCGACGACGTGGGCTCGGGCTGTGCTAACAGCGGGAGCACCTTCCGCGGGACTCTGACTCGAACGTCCGACGGGAACACGCACTCCGCTGTCGCGTTCATGAGAAATTATGAAAAGAACGCTAAAGCACACGTCGGTGAATCGGTCGGCGCCGACCAGGATCACCGCCGCACGAATGATGCGCCCGGCCTGGGCCCGGCGCCTGAACAGGAACCTTCCTCGACCAGCGACTCGTCCTTCTTCGGCGGCACGTTCTTGTGGTCGTGAAGCTTGTCGAGGGACTTGGGTAGCAGAGCTCGATGCGCGAGCCGCTCGCGAAGATCCTTCTCCGCGCCGTCGATCAGGACCCTTTCCTGGTCGGCCATGGACGCGTCGAACTCCTCCAGCACGTGGCAGTTGATCCGCGACTTCCAGCCCTGCTTCGCGCCGTTCGGGGGCTTCCAGTCGCAGCGCTGCTCGACGTTCTCGAAGGCCCCCTCGATCCCGTGCAGCCTCCGAAGCGCGAGCTCCGTCGTCTTGTAGTTGATGAACTTGGGAGGGGCCTCGATCATGGAGCGGTCGAGCATCATCCCCATGAGCAGCATCTCCTCGGCCATGTGGTTGCCCTCCAGCTGCTTGAGGCGAATCATCTCGCGGCTCGTGGAGACCGCTGTCGCCCCGTTCCTGTAGAGGCGAGCCACCGTGGCTGGAGCGACGCGGGTCTTGATGCCACCAGGAATCGTCCAGCTCACTGAAGGGTTGAAGGCCTCGAGCTTTTCCTTCGCCATGATGCGCATGTCCTTGAAGGAGTCGCCCAGGCCCCGCGCCGGCGCCTCGAACTCGGGATCACTCGCCGTGACCTCCTGGACTCGGGGCGGAGTGCCTGCCGTCGCCGCCTGGCTGTCGGCATGGGCGATCTCCTTGTGCCTGTCCAGACGCTCGAGCAGCTGGGACGTCATCTGGTCGTAGTCTGTGCCCGAGTCCTCGCCGAGACTTCCACTCCAGCCCGTCGCGGGAGCGGGAGTGAACCTCGGGGGAGGAGGTGAGGCTGGAGGCGGCAGAGGTGGCTGCGTGCTCCTGATCTCCAGCGCCACGAGCCTGTCCGCCACCAAGCTGAGCTGCCTTGCCAACTCGGACTCGGTCGACGCGCCCTCCTCGTCGGATATCACGGTGCCCTCGTCGTCGCGAGGCGTCGAAGCTCCTGACGAGCTGGCGGACTCCGTATGCGACCAAGGCAAGGGCTGCTGCCAGGACGTAGGTGCCGCTGTCTCCGCCTGCGCGCCGGGATGGGGCTGGCCAGAACTCTCTCGCCGCCCGCAGCAAGCTCCCGTCGCGCCGATCACGAACATGATGCCGACCGACATGTAGAGCGGCTCGAGGGCACCCGACTCGTGCATCTCCAGAATGTGCTCGCACTCCTCCTTCAGGCCCTCGACGGTCTCGATGGTCTCCTTGGCGCTCGAGTAGGCTTACTTTATCCACTCGATCGCATTGAAGTAGGTGCAGGCTGGCCACAGCACAGAGGTACATCCAGCTAAACCTCCAAAACTTCGCCGAGCCCACACATAGCCCACGGCGTTGCTCGCAATCTTCGACACCCATGTCGCGAGATGGCGTCGGTGACCCTTTCTCCCCGTTGAGTTCCAGCGCTGATAATCTCGAGTGATCGTCGCCGTCGACGTCCAGGCTCCAGAGGCGATGATGTGGTCCGCCGCCTCTGCGGCCATGCCCTTCTCCCGGCTCGACATGCCCAGGAAGCTCCCGTGGTCCACGCCAGCGAACTTGGTCGACTTCACCTTGGTCGTGGCCGCGAGGTCCACCACCTGGAGCCGACCCGCCGGATCGATGGCGACCCAGCGCTTCTCTTCAGTCGTAGGCGTGAAACGAGTCACCAGCAGCATCGGCGGCTCCGAACTTGAGCCTCCGAAGTCCTCCTCGTCGTCGGGGCAGTCGTCGCCCTCGGGAGCGTCCACGAGAGGCCCGTCCCAGTAGCAGGCCTCGAACTCGCAGGTGCCCCAGTCCACCCACTCGCCCACCGCGTCCTCGCGATACAGCGAGGTGCCGAGCACGCAAGCGGCAACCCACGAGAACTTCGTGGCTGCCGAGGCCGCGCGCAGGGGCCGCGCGCGGGAGGTTGAGGAGGTGCCTTCCTGATAAAAGCTAGAGGCCGAAATGATTATGGACTGTCTCTCGCAGCTCTGAGCACACTCTCGCTGTCCCACACCCTTCCGTCCCACCGAGGCCCGAAGGGGGGGATTTTATATTCGCGGCCCTACCTACGCGCACCCTAAGAAAGCCCGTTCACAAACATGTATGCCGTGCCGCAGCCGCCACCGCCGCCGCTTCTTTGAACATTTGTGCCAAGCGCTGGCCCAACCCTACATGTGCGTCAAAGTAGTGTACACATGTTGATTTGGTTGTGATATGGGTGAGGAGTGCCGAGAGGCAGGTCCCCAAGAATCGTGCGTGGAGACTCTCATGACGGCACTGGCATGAGAACTTAAAGGGCCTTGAAGCAGAGCGGGCGGGGATCATGTGAGTTGTGCGTGAATGATCTGAGCATGCTCGTCATTCGGGTTTCGACTCCCCGTGGCCCCAACGCCGGCTTCTTTTCCTCTCATCGGGTGAGGAGCGCCGAGAGCCTTGCCCCCAAGATTCGTGTGTGGACAGTTTCATGTCGGCGCTGCCATCAGTGCATATTGGACCTTAAAACAGAGCGGGCGGGGATCATTCTCCTCCTCCTCGCCTCCTCCTCTTCTCACCTCCTTCTCTCCCTTCCTCCTTCTCCTCTCCCCCTCCTCTTTCTTTTCTCCTCCTCCTCCTCCTCTCCCTCCTCTCCTCCTCCTCTCACTTCCTCCTGCTCTCTCCTATTGTTTGTTTTCTCCCTCTCTCTCTCTCTTCCTCCTCCTCCTCCTCCTCCTCCTCCTCCTCCTCGTCGTTTTCGTCCTCCTCCTCCTCCTGCAACTTCTCCTCCTCCTCTTCCTCTTTTTGTTTTTCCTCCTCCTCCTCCTCCGCCCTCCTTTCCCCCCCCCCCCGCGCGCGAGGTCGTGGGAGAGAACGGCAGCGCCCTGCGTCACGTGCCCAACGCGCTGCGGCACGACCGGGCCTTCCTGCTGCAGGCGCGCGCGGCCGCCGCGCCCTCGCTGCCGCTGCCCTCGGACGCCCTCTCCCAAAACGAATTCATGAATCGACGTGATTCGAATAATCGAGGATGGTTCACGACGGTGCCGCCGATTCGCGAGGATGATCCACGCCGGGCCCCGTGGGCCCCAAAATTCAATTCAGGAGGAAAAGCTGGTCCTGGGGGTTTGGTCGAGAATTCCAGGGGGTCCCCGCTGTGAAAAAATCACAACATCGGTGGTCTGGGTTTGCTGCTCCTTACCTCTGTGCTCAGGTTTGACTTGGCCCCGAGCCAGAAACATACCTTCAACGTCGTGATCGTTCCAAGTCGTAGAGTTCAGAGGTCTCGACCCATTCCTTGGGACAAGCTTTTCATCCTGAGTAGTTTTTTGACAGACCACGGGCCTGGCGAGTGCCCGAATATGTTGAAAATAACAAGAACGTCTCGTCGTATTCTTTCCACGGCGCCAGGGGGTCTTCGGACGGCCTCTCCTGCTTTGCTGGTCAGTTGGGATTGGCCCGTCGGTTCTCGGCGATATCCTGTGGCCTTCATCCCCATTTTTGTTTCCTCTGTCATGCAAGATCATGGGTTCGTGGCTCTACCGGGTTAATCTGCGGGGTGGGCAGCTTACAGTTCTTGTTTCACCCTGGATCTCATAGTGATGGGTGGGGGGTCTTCTTTCGGGGGGTGTCTAATGGGCCTCGTCAAACAAGATTGTCAGGGGTCTCGATTTTGGACCCTTTGTTGTATCTCTGGGGGGTTGTCTGCTTCGAGATCGGGGAGGGTGGGTACCAGAAGCGCCGTCTAACACTTTTTTGCCCCCCCCCCCCACCCCGGTGCAGCTCGAACAACATGTGCGCAGGCGTCTTTTCAGCTTCAGCCCCTTCATCGTGACATCCGCTTGCTGCTGAGAAGGCTCTACGTCGTTTAGCATGTGCAGTCATCTTCTTCTCGCCACGCGGCATAGGAATGCTACTCAGACGTCCCATATTCGGCTGAAGGCCGTGAGTCGCTCAGCTTGAAGCCCCCCACGGGGGCGCGGAGCCGTGTCTATCTCAGCGGTCAGTAAGCACTTCGTGCAGTGGAGCCGGCCTGCCAAGAAAGTTCTTTCATCTCCATTGTTCAACGGCGTCCAGACGTTGCAGGCTGGATGAATGACCGGCTCGCGCAACGTAGGAGCAAACAACGTGGGCCCCAGAGGTATCGGCCCCATCTCGCGGACCTGCTTTTCATCCTGGGCCGTTTTCTGATTGCCCCAAGGCCCGACGCGGAGCTCTGGAGGCCTAAGGCGTAGGGCAACTTGGCCGCCGTGATTTGTTCCAGACGTCAACAGTTTGTGCTTTCACATGGGCCGGCACCTTTACCTTCACCTCCTTCTCTTCCTCCTCCTTCTATTTCTCCTCCTCATCCTCCTTCTCCTCCTCCCCTTCCTCCTCTCACTAATACTACCCCCTACTACCACTACTACTACTACTACTACTACTACTACTACTACTACTACTACTACTACTGCTGCTCCTGCTGCAACAGCAACGACTACTACTAAAATGATGATGGCTACTACTTCAATTTCTTCTTCTACTACTACTACTACGACTACTACTACTACTGCTATTACTACTACCACCACCACCACCACCACTACTACTACTACTACTACTACTACTACTACTACTACTACTACTACTACTAGTACTACCTACTACCTACTACCTAATACCCATTTTTAGTATTACCAGTACGATTACTACAACTACTACTACTACTACTACTACTACTACTACTACTTCTACTACTACTACTACTCCTATTACGACTACTGCGACCATTCTTCTTACTATTTCTATCACCGCTACTACTAATACTGCTACTACTCGTACTACTGCTGCGACTACAAGTGCTACTACTATTACTACGGCGACGGCTACTACAACTACTAGTACTACATGTAGTGCTATTTTTATAATTCCGAATTGTATTACTACTACTACTACTACTACTACTACTACGACTACTACTACTACTGCTACTACTGCTACTACTACTACTACTACTACTACTACTACTTCTTCTACAGCTGCTACTACTGTTACTACTTCTAGTACAATTACTACTAGTGGAGCAGTTTCTGCAGTATTGCTGTTAATACTGCTGCTGCTACTACTACGGCGACGACGACGATGACGACAACAATTACTACTACTACTACTGCTACTACTACTACTGCTACTACTACTACTACCAATACTGCGGCGACTACTACTTCTTCTACTGCGACTACAGCTACGGCTACGGCTATGACAACGACTACGACTACGACTACGACTCTGACTCTGACTACGACTGCGATTACGGTACAATTATGTCTACGACTCCTATTATTACTGCTGCTACCACTACAGCAACAACTACTATTACTACTGTTACTATTAATACATCTACCACTACTACCACCACTACTACTACTATGACGACGACTACCACTACTACTACTATTACTACTACTACTACTATTACTACTACTACTACTACTACTACTACTACTACTACTACTACTCGTACCAGTTCTTCTACGGCTACGACTACGACTGCGGCTACGGCTATGGCTAAGACGACGGTTACTACTACTACTACTACTACTACTACTACTTCTACTACTACTACTACTACTACTATTACTACTTCTTCTACTACTACTACTACTACTACCGCTACTACTACTACTACTACTACTACTACTACTACTAATACTACTACTACTACTACTACTACTACTACTACTGCTACTACTACTACTACTACCACTACTACTTCTACGACGACTACTACGGACTGTACTACTTCTAGTCCTACTACTACTACGACGACGGCTACTATTATTATTACTAGTACTACTTTGAGTATCTGGTTCTTTCTAACTAGCACGACTACTTCAATTACGACGGCTCGTAAGAGGAGTACTATGCTTAGTCGTACAATCATTACTACCGCTACTATTGCTACTGCTACTATCACTCCTACTACTACTACGACTACGACTACTACTACTACTACTACTACTACTACTACTACTACTACGACTACCAGTGCTACCTTAACTACGGACCACTACGACTATTCTTACTAAAACTACGATTCGCACCACTAGTATTCCGACGACTACTACTACTACTACTACTACTACTACTACTACTACTACTGCTACTATTACTACTGCTCCTGCTATTACATGTCGCATTATTTCTACCACGACGACGACTGCTCCGACTACTATTCGTATGACCACTACCATTTCCATGCCGATTCTTACCACCACTGCTAGCTACTGCCATTACTACTGCTGCTAATAGGACTCCTACGTCTATTACTACTACTACTACTACTACTACTACTACTACTACTACTACGACTACGACTACTACTACTACTACTACTACTACTACTACTACTACTACTACTTCTACGTACTACTACTACTACTACTACTACGACTACTACTACTACTACTACTACTACTACTACGACTTCTACGATTTCTATTGCCACTACTATTACTACTACTTCTACTACTACGACGACGACTGCAACTACTACGACGACTGCGACTACGACTACTACTACTACTACTACTACTACTACTACTACTACACTACTACTACGACTACTACGACTACTACGACTACTACGACTACTACGACTACTACTACTACTACTACTACTACTACTACTACTACTACTACTACTACTACTACTACTACTACTACTACTACTACTACTACTACTACTACTACTACTACTACTACTACTACTACTACTACTACTACTACTACTACTACTACTACTACGCATACTTTTACCACTACTACTCATCCTTCTCATCCTTGCTCCCCCTTTCACGTCCCTCCTCCCTCCACCTCCTCCCTCCACCTCAGCCCTCTCTCTCCCTTCCCTCTCTCCCCTCTTCCCTCGTCCTTCTCCTCTCCTCAATCTTCCTCTCTCCTTCCCTCTGCTCATCCTTTCCCACCCTCCTCTGTAACTTCTGGGCTGCAGGTCCTCCTCCTTCGCGTGGCACCTTTCCGAGGTGTGTGTGTGTGCCTTTAGAAGACTCTCGATCATCTGTCGGTGATTGGGGCAGGGTACCAACTCCCCTCTCTCCCGTCCTCCCCCCTCCCCCTCGTGGCTCCTCCACGACTGCACAGTATGAATACTATTCTCCTCTCTCCCCAGACTCTGCCCAGAGAGTGCCCCGTCCTCTCCGAGTATTGTTTTATGCACAGGATTTCATTTGTTGTTTTTCCCTATGTGTTTACTTCAATCCCCGTTCTTCCAAAATGGTGCTCCCGCTGCAGCGCCGCCCTCATTTCCGCGCTTCGGTCATTCAAAACCGTGCTCCCGCTGCAGCGCTGGCGTCGTTCCCGCGCCTGCGGTTGTTCCACATGGTTGATTTCGCAGCAGCACTGGCGTGTTCGGTCCTTCCAACTAGCGCTGTCGCCTTAGCGCTGGCAGTGCTGCCGTCCTTCCAAGTCGTGTTCCCGCTGCAGAGGTGACTTCATTCCCGTTTTCAGTCCTGGCCTCGCCCTCGCGTTCCAGCCCTTCTAAA